TTTAAGATATAGGTTCCCGTTTATATGCTCATTCTTGAATTCTAAGTTAAAATTGATTAGCGTATTTGTCTATTGTTTTAAGAAACAATGATGGGCATTCTTGGTAGGTTCATCTTACATCCTTATCAAACACATATATTCAAAGTATTTGAGAAGGATTAGGAACTCCCATTCTCCCAAATGTGACTCAACACATAATTCTAGTATGCCAATACACATGGAGGCTAGACAAAGTAACTACTTGCAAAAAAAAAAAAAATGAGCAAAACGTGTCACATATTTGTTATTCATTACTCATCTTGTTCATTCCACAAATACTCAAAAGTCTACTGGGTGTGGGAACTGTGATAGTGTGGGAGAGATAATGGTGACCCAAGAGAAACAAACCATTACAATCAAGAACTGTAATTTCTGGGGGTTGGGGAGTTAGCTCAGTGGTTAAGAGCACTGGCTGCTCTTGCAGAGGACCTGGATTTGAATACCAACACCCACGTGGTGGCTAATAACAATCTATAATTCTAGTTCCAGGGAAATTCAATGCTCTCTTCTGACCTCCTCTGGCATTGTGTGACGTGGGTGCACTAACATACATGCTGGCACTATACTCATACAAATTAAAAAAAAAAGACAATGAATAAAATATTTTTTAAAAGAAATGTAATTTCTGGTGAGAAAGAAATATTAATCAACAACTTACTCCAACAACTTTATCATGGTATTGGTGACAACTGTTCTGAACTAGTGTCAGGGGCTTAATGAAATAGATTTGATCTGGTAGGGGATAAATAAAAGTCAATATTTGTAGGGTGGATGGAAGTTAGGCAGGCCAGAGCATAGGAGGGGACTTCTGGTGAAGGAAAGAACACAGCACTTACAGGAGCCACATGAGTGCAAGGGTCTGAAGAAACACAGACATCCATGTGCAGCAATACTTAGAGATGCAGTGATAAAAACTAAACTCAGAACAAGAAACAGCCTAGTCAGGCTACAAGAGCAGGCACAGACAAGGAAAGAAATCTAGGACACATTTCAAACAAGCCAAGATCTCAGTGCTCCAAAGTATGTTACCTTCCCAAACAGCAAATTTCTTATGTTGGGGTCTATATGAGAGTAATATTTAATAGTCCGCAAAGAGTATGTTAGGTGCTTTTGTCTGCTGTGATCAAAATACTTGAAGAAAATAATTTATAGCAGAAATTGGCTTGTGGTTTCAAGGTGGCCTTGATCTACCATGACCCCAGGAAGGCCAGTTCATAGAAGTCAGAGTGTGTGGTAGAGACACCTCACATCCTGTGGAACAGGAACAGAGACCAAGGGCCCAGAGGATATAACCTGCAAAGGTTGCCCCCAGTGACCTACTTTGGCCAACTAGGTCTTCGTTCCTAAAGGTTCCACAGCCTGCCAAAGTAGTTCTATCCCAAAGGAACACAAAATATGACTTGGGAGAGACATTTCAGATTCAAACAATAATAAAGTGCCCCTTATATTGACAATCTTTTATCTTTGTAGAACTCTGTTTATCATCCACTTTGAATTTCATTTGTGATTTGTCTTTCCTTTCTAAAAGAAGCCAACATGATATAGATATAAAGCGGAGGATAGTTTTTGCCCTGTTCAGTTACTTCCCAATTTGCTGGTGCCTCCATTGGACAAGTGTCCTTCCTGCCCACTGGCCATTACTGGCGGCACCTAGAACCAAGCCTAGGGGACAGCAAATCCCTAATAGATTAGTTAGTACCTAAAACAGATGAATGGAAATGCTGTCATCTTAAGGACACATCCTTTTATAGACTCTTAGTAAGGGAATATGGCAATATATCAATGGCATCTATTAAACACAGACCAGTTGCTGTGAACTGGCTCCTGCTGTGTTCACCACAATTGTCTCTGAGTCTGCTCAGTAGTGTGATTCCTTTTGAGATCTACAGAATGAGAAGAACTATAATAAGTGATTACGCTTGATTTCATGCTTAACTTATGATTTCAGAAATATACTTTGAAAAGTAATGGAACTTGACTTCACTAGTATACATCCACAGACACACATATACACACATAGACACACACTGATACACACAGAGACACATTTAGACAGACACACATAGACATATACATTCACATATACAGACATACACAGACTCAGACATACAAACACACACATATACACACACAGACCCAAACATACAAGCACACACACAGATACACACAAACACAGACACACATAGACACACACACACATACATGATTCAAACAAGGGTTTCATGAATGCCAAATATGAGCCCCACACTCACACTATTTCGTCGATGCCAATTTTGTAAAGCAAGCTCCAAGTAAGTACGTATAGCACTAGAACAGAAAGAGCTTATTTAGTGGAAAATATGAAAAAGTTTTCTGGCACTGGAAAGAATTCCTTTTTAAGACCTGGTGCACATTTTCAAAACGCACACAAACCATGCCATCTTATCTTAGCTTTATGAAGTTAATTCGTTCTTGCCAAAGGAGGCCTTGGGTGGCTGTTGAGGGGAAGGGGGCTGAAGGGTTTGGAGTGGTGAGTGAATCAGCTCTAGCACTGAATTCTAGAGCAAAGCAAAGAACCTCCTGGGGCGTACTAGAAAGCAGGTGGTGGGAACTGTCACAGGGGTCAGATTGGGAAGGGGTTGTTGCAAGTGTTCAGAGATGGGTAGTACAGTGTGGGGGAGTGCGCTGTCCACAGTAGCCGTGCTTAGGGAGCATTTAGAATGTTTCGTGCTTGGTTCTGGATACATTCTGCACACGCACCATTAAATCCTTGTGACAATCTGAGTGGGAACAAGTGTGCCTTGGTTGCTGTGACCCGCAGACCCTTTTCCTCTCTACTTCCACTTGGCAGCAACTGAACTAGACAGCGCCCTTCAGTCCACACAGTGATGGAGTCCTCCTGAAGACCACATTTGCCCACATGGTCTCTCTTCCATAGGCCCTGGAAGTTGGGGGATTGTCAACAAATCACAGTTCTCAGTGAGAGCTGACTGTGTACACATCTGTCTAAGTGGGATTTTGTTGTTGTTGATGCAGTTGACTTCAGCTGTTAGTTTCTGAAATTAGAAAATTGTGAAGCTATCTCCATAGATTTGGCCCCTGGCGTTTGACTTGTACATTGTTCCTGTCTTTAAGGACCCCTTGTTCTATTTTTCTGTGCTATCTATGAAGTGAAACCCTGTCTTCAGTCATGTTTCTCAAGAAATCTCTCACGAGTGTCAGGAGTTTCATTTTAGATGTAGAGTTTCCACAGGCAGCATCCAGTGCTGCTGGTTATTTTGCTTCACAAATGAGAGTTCTCAAGCAAATGTGACGTTCTCAAGCAGCCCAAGATGCACAGGAAGGCACTCTTGGCTTTTGTCTCTTGGCTACAGTAAAGGGATTGATGGCTTTTGTCAGCACAGTTGTGTTCATGGTCAAAAGACAGTCTTAGGAAGAGTCACATCTAACCATAATTCCCCGTTTTTTCAGATACAGGTTCAGATCTTTCAAATTTATTCCTGGGAGGAACCAATTTCTCTTTAATTTCAATTTAAGTACACCCCAAAAGTTGGGCACTTACTTAGAAGTACTTTATATTTAATTCCTTTAGCATTTTTTTCATTATGAAACTAATGAAAATTGTCATTTTAAGAGCCTGTTATATGATATCTTGAAGATGAATTACCAAGTTGCTTTCCCATCCCTTTCTGGAGTGAAGGAAACCATGAGCCATCCCTAAGGTATTAGAAGTTGAAGGGGTAGGCAAGCCAGGTCATGTCCTGTTGTTTAGGCCTATGACCCTGAAACCAGATGGCTTTTGTGTTTTCTGGAAAGCTTCAAGCTGGACACCATGGTGTCATCATTAACAAAATGACAGGTCTCTACAAAATCATCGATGGGTGAACGTGAATGAGGATCAAAAGATAAGAAAACAAAAACATGACAAAGTCTACTTTCAGGCTTATGACATGGGTTTATTTGACTAGCAAAGGTTCAGTGCTAATTTTATGGTTATGAAGACAATGTAACACCTAATTATGTGACACTCATTAATAAATTCTGGGTCTGCTCATAGCCAGAAACATTTTCAAGAATTGAAATGGTGTGAGAGTTGTAGCCGGCTTCTCAAGAAGTTTCCTGCAACCATCCTTAAAGCAGCAACAGGGAAGGGACACATCTGTCCTTTGTGGTGTGACTCCCCTCCCCTCCTGTCATTTGAAAGAGGTGCGGGCTGAGTCACAGTGCCCTGCCAGTGCTTTCTGAGGAGCTGAGAGTACTCAGCTTTCAGGATTTAATCTTCCTGGTTAAGTGCTGCTGTAATTCAGCCCGATTAAGTGCACTTAGAGTCCCAACTTAAATTCTCCCTCTTCTTTTCACGAACTGTAGTCCTGACAGCAGCAGAGAGAAAAACCACTTGCCTGGAAAAGTTAGGAGATGCTCAGGATTAAAGTTACAAAACGTGGGGTTTGTGAAACGGAGGGCCTCAGAGAAAATTAGTAGCCCACGTTTAGCCAAGAACTAGGGCCTCAATGGATTATTTTCGTTAATAACTTTGGTTTTGCTATTTTCCCGTAGCCCTGAACTCCCTTCGCTCCCTCCATCCCTTCCTCCCTCCCTACTTTTTTCTTTCCTTCCTTCTTTCTGTCCCTTCGTTTCTTCTTTCACGGCTTTCATCCCCTTTCCCGCTCCCTTAAATTATTGAGTGATGGTCTACTAGGCAATTTTTAAGCCAGGAAACCCCACAGCCCGCCCCCAGGATGGTGTGCCGCGCAGACTGAGGGCGTATGGGAATCCTATTTACTTGTCTGTGGGACTTGGGTTTCTGCTTTGAGTCGTCCCTGTGTCCACTCTTTATCAGGTTGGCCTTAGGCTGCTGTGAATAACCCAGCCTGTCCAGTTTTGGAATGTTGTTGTGGGTCCGGAGTTGCCCCCAGGCCAGGGACCTTGGCGGGCCTAGAGGGCAGTGCGCTGGGCGGGGCCAGGGCCAGGGCTGGCGGCGAGTCTCAGTACAGTCAGGGCTTCTGCTGGGCAGGGCCAGCTGCCAATCTTGCCAGGCGGCCACCGGGGCGCGGGGGTGACATGGGACATAAAGGTGGCGTCCGCCGGTGAGAAACACCTAGCGCAGGTGGAAGGGTGGCGGCGAGAGGGAGTTCCACGGAGACTTAAGGAAAACAGCAGGGAGGGGCCGGTCGCTGTCTTTTGGACCTGCCCGGAGCCCCACCCTCGGCCGCAGGAAAAGCCCCTAGGGACGCGGGCGGGAGCCGCAGACCCCGCAGCAGCCCGGCGGTGCGCTCCACCTGTGCGCTGCGGGCCCCGCGCCACGTCCACGCTCCGGTCCCGGCCCCCGACCTTTGTCCTGACCATGGCGGCGGGACCCGCGAGCTGCGGGAGCCGAGCCCTGTGCCGGCCACTCCTGCTGACCCTCTGGGTGAGCGCCGGGGACGGGAGAGGGGACGCGGCGGGCCGGGAGGCCGGTCCAGGTGGTCCAGCTGGGGTCGAGGGGGCCGCTAGGCTGCAGCTGGGGGCGGTGGGGGAGGGTGGGCAGAAGCCACCGGGCGCCGCGGTCCCGCGGGGGAGGGCAGGTGGCCCTGAGATGTAATCGCAGATCCAGGCGGGGGCGGATCGCGAACACCCAGCCAAAACCGTGGCCTCGGGGTGCGCTGGGCTAGCGGGGTGCACCCGGCAGCTGCCTGTGCCTGCGGTACCGGCCTAGGAGCGCAGGGAGCCGGCCGCTCAGGGCTGAAGGCTCAGCAAGCCAGTGTCCTTGGGGTCAAAAAGGGCACTTGTCGCCTTTGGAGGATTGATCTTGAGGACTGTGTGCTGGGAGAGGCTCGCGGGGGCTGAGGGGCGAGCGCGATGGGCTTGGGACGGTGACTGTATGTTCTTCTGGAGTCTGGACATGGGCGAGTAGGACGTGACCGTTGTTAACCTGAAAGGCCTTGGTCCCTAAGTCTCTAGGGAGTGAGCTCGCTGGGAGTGAGCTCTCTAGGCCCTGGAGGTGTTTGGACTCTTCCCCCCACCACAACCCTTGCTCTAGCTTCTTTCCCCCTTTTAGAAGTACAAGAATGACCTCAGCCCTTCCCAGAGGTGGGAGCCACGGAAGTGATCTTATTTGGGACAGGACAGCCACCGGCCAAGGCTGGAAAGACTGGATCAGGAATTTGATCTGAGTCCTGGGAGCAGACCACTGGGGAGTCTGGGATCAAAGTGCCAGCCCTGGATTGGAGTTTATCTGGGTTTCCTTGAACAAGGAAACTTTTCACTGGGCCAGGTTCAAAAGACCGAGATACTTATTTGTGCCCTTTAGCCTTGAGCCTGCAGGATTGGGCTGCAGTTGGCCTCAAGGATGCCTGGAGGAACCCAGGGAACCTGGGAGATGCTGAAGTCAGAGGCTGAAATGTTAGGATTTCTTCCCCTTTTCTTGGACTCCCATTTCACAAAGGATTCCTGCATTTTTAGTTGCCGAAATTGCATTGTGGCTACTGCCATTATTAGAATGGTTTTCTCAAGGAATGAATGGACTTCAAATTCTTGACCGAAATTCGAGGCGGGGGGGGGGGTGGGGTGGGGGGGGCGGCGTTTACTCATAAACACAGGAAGGGCCAGGTACCCAGAAGTTAGCGCTTTGCAGTTGATGAAACAGACTAGAATAAATAATGGGCACAAATGGGTGTTTGCTGATGACAAAGTGCTAATGAATGAAGTTGCCATTTCCTTTTAAACCACAGCCTTATTCTTTGAGAGAAAAGGCATGCTTAGGCACTGCATTGCCCTGAAGAACTCACAGCCAAACTTTGTAGTGTCCTCTCCAATGAGAGAGAGAGAGAGAGAGAGAGAGAGAGAGAGAGAGAGAGAGCTCTGATGCCCCCCTCATCTTGCAGGAAAGCTTAGTGTGAGTCTCCCTGAGTGCTAGACTCCAGCTGTGCATGTGCTAAGACTCCTACCAGCCTCAGGTGGGTGTGAGAAAAGCAGAAAGGCTTTAAGTGAGGTCTACTTAAGAATGACTTTAGAGGGTGCGGCTCCCTTCACTTTGCCTCTTTCCCATACACTCGAGTAATCCCTCGACACTCCACATCTGCGAGTTTCCACTTCCTAGTACTGCCCCACCCCACACTGCCCTCCTCAGTGGCGTTTTCGTCTTCCTGAATGCCATCCACTTTATTCTCTAAGGCCATCTGAGCTCTGCCTTGGCAAACCCAAGCGACACACTTTATTCTCAAATTTCTCCCAGTGATTGTCTTCATTCTCCAAATTCAGAACTTAAAAATCTTTGTGACCATAGAATGACTCCCCACCCAATTTCTTTTTCTCTCCACTTTCTTTTGTGTATGTGGTTAAGAAGATTGATCATGAGATCCTTTTGATAGATTTTTAAGAGTACGTTGATTAACTAGAAGCACAATGCTGTACAATAGATATCTAGACGCTTGGTCCTTTGTAACAGAAACTTTATACCTACTAAGCAACAAACCCCACTTTTCCCATGTCCTTCACCCCAACCTTCTGTTTCCTCTTCTGTAACTTTGGCCACTGTTTCCACTCATAAAGTCTGTCTTGCTGCTTGGAATGTACATTTTTTTTCCCTTAGGCCATTTTTTCTACTTTATGGCTTAAATTTTCACTTTATCTTTATTATTGGTATTTCAGACATAATCATTAAAAATCAGGGTTCTACATCTCTACATAGCATTGTCTTTAACATGTCACTTATTATGCTGCAAATGTTTTCCTTTGGGTGTCAGAAATTGCACAGTATATAGTATTCCTGTGTGCCTTGCTTTTCACAGAGATTTCTACAAGCTTTTTCCTTATTAACACCAAGTACTTCATTGTCTCAATGAATAAATGTTTTCAGAGATATCACCTGGATGTATTTTCTTGTGTCTATCACTTCTGCCACTGCTTTTGATACTACAAATAATATCACAATGAATAAGCTTGGCTGTGTGTCATGTTCCATGTGGGGCAGGTATACCAGTAGCCTAGACTACCAGAAATGGAGATGACAAACATGAAAGTCATTGACTTCTGGCCAGTGTCATTCTCTTGGTACAGGTTGTGTGTCACTAGACACTGTTTTACACTTGATGATGTGTCACATTGTTAAAAATATCAGTAGCATAAGAGTTATTAAGTAAGAATGACTTTGAGGGTGCTGGAGCCAGGCAGAAATTTGCCAAAAGATAAAACTGAATGCATACTTTATACAGAACACCATGGGGAACTCCAAATATGAACTACTGGACTGCAAATGACATCATATAGGTTATATAAGCAGCATGATGGGCTTCTTACAAATTTGCAGTGAAGAGCACCTGTTGACTCAGATTTCCAAAGCCAGTTCATTCAACTTGAGAAAACCAAGCTTGTAACAACACATACAATTTCCATGGTTAAAAGAGAGATACCAAAAACCCCAAGCCAAATCAAACAACATTGGCTATGCTAAAAGGTAACTAATAAACTGCATATATATATATATTTACATGTACATATATATTTTAAAAGGCTAGTGTAAGACATAAAACTCCAGTTTAAGGACATGACAAAATTCTGTAAAGTAATACAAAAAATCCTTAAAATATAAAAAAAGTCATCTTCACTCATTAAAAAAAGGTAAATTACAAACTGCATTGAAATGTCACTTCATATTTGACAAACACCCAGAAGTTTGACAGCATGCTGTATAGGCAGGAATGTATGTAAGTAGAAACTCTCATAAATTGTTATTTACAAAAGTTGCATGTCCTATGTGAACTGTATGTAGTCAAATCACGTGCAGACTAACACGGGTGCCTTTATCCTTTGTAAATCAAGTATCTGATACCTGTCTATTCATATTCTGATACTAAACCTTGTTTTAATCGATTAGACTTTATGGGATCTTTTACAGTCTGCACATCCTTTTGTTGTTCTTTTTTTTCATAATTTTCCTAATTTAATTTTTTTCTATGACCTTTTGAACCAGCTTGTTTAGCTCCGGGAAATACTCTGTTGAGATTTTTATTGAGATCATAAAAATTGTAACTCACTTTAGGATGTATGTTGCTGACTTTTCCCATCCAGATAATATGTTTTTTCTTTATGTGTAAATCTACCTTTATGCCTTGCAGAAATATTTTAGAGTTTCCTGAAATCAACCTTGAGGGTGTCTTACTAAATTGACTCCTTGGCTTTCAAACATAGCTTTGGAAAATGACTTCTTTTACATTATCTGACTGGTTTATTGTGGACATGAGGACTGTGCTAGCTATATTTTAGCAGCTACTTCTACTTTTTTAACAAATTCTCATGGTATTTTATTGGTTGATTTGCTTAAATTTTACAGCTAAAGTCATAGCAAATGCAAATGAAGATTTTTTAAAAAACTTCTTCCTTTGCAATTCATGTGCTTGGTCTATGGTGCTTTTAATGTAATGTAAATACTTGTGGTGACCCTAGAAATCCTGCTTTGTTTCCAGGTTTAGGGGATATATTAGTTATTTCTTGTTGGTGTGACCAATTGAGTGACAAGAAACAGCTTAACAGCTTAAGGGTGGAAGAGTTTATTTTGGCTCAGTCTGAGACACAGTCCCTTCAGGTAGGGAAGTCAGGGTAGAGAGTGTGAGGCAGCTGGTTACACAGCACACAGTCAGGAAGCAGAAAGCAGTGAAGGTTGGTGCTCAGGTCTCACTTCGTTTCTCTTCTTATACAATCTAAGAACCTTTTTCCTGGGATGGTGGCACCCACTTTCAGGATGGATCTTCAGTTAAACCTTTCTGGAAGCATCCTCAGAGATACACAGAGGTGTGTTTCCATGGTGACTCCAAATCCAGTGATGATTAGCCTCCACAGTGGGGTTACTTCCAATACTCTTCTATTGACATTGTGATTATAATATGAGAGACTTCTGGAGCAAACAAGGGATCTGAATGTAGGTCACAAACCCATGCAGAGTCCAGATTAGCTGTGGCTCCACCTCACAATGAAGGTGCAATGGAGAGTATCTTCCCTGAGACTGTAGGCGTGCCCTATGTTTTTATTTCACTCAGTCTCTACTGAGGCCAAGAAACCACAGCGAAATCCTGGCGGGTCAGAAATGGTTTCCGAGTTCCCCTTTCCTGCATTGACTGTTTCCGTTCCAGCTTTACCTACATTTTTTTTTCCTACTATTTCTTGCTATTTTTGTTAATTGTTGATATCATAGTATGTTTAAAACCATTTCATCTATCATTGCTAATTAGTTTTGGCATGCCATTCTTTGAATTACCTCACCTGTCTTTGATGGAAATAAAACATTTCTCCTGTTGTATTTCTCCATAGTGCTCAAATTTACCGTACTCAAATATAAACCTGTTTATGCAATTTATTTGCTTGAGATAAATCTTTGCTTTCTGTGTTGATCAGTTTTCTTACTGCTGTGAGAAATTCCCAGGAGAATCAGGTTAAAGCAGTGGTTTAGTCTGGCTCACAGTTTCAGAGACTTCACGGCATGGTCCACTGACTATACTGCTTTTAAGCTCAATCGAGGCAGAAGCATTGCAGGTGAATGTTGTCTTGGAGGAAAGCTGTTTACTCATGGCTGCTAGTAAGCAGAAAGGAATACAGAAAGGAGTCAGGGCTGGACTCATCATTCAAAGGTTTGCTTTCAGTGACCTCAGTATTCAAATAGGGAGCCAACATCTTCTTTCTACCACCTCCCAATAGTGGTATCAAATAAAGAACCCACTTATATCCATTGATTAGGTCAAGCCCCACTCCCCTCTCCATCCAGGCACCTACAATGATTGGATCTACTGCCTGGAGACCATTCTTTTGGGGTTTGTTACACCTAAACCATAGCAGTTTCTGATTATGTTTAGGAAAAAGGATCCACATGGATTGCTAATATCTCAGAAACTCACTCCTCTGAATTCACTTTAATTCTTTTCCTCCTGTGCCATACATGTGCCATTCTAAGTTTCATCTTCAGGTTTCTGTCATCTCTGTCATTCCTTGTGTTTGCAGTTTAAACTCTGTCTCCTGTCATGACTGACTCATGGCCACCCCTCGGGTGACCTCATCTGGCTCCTAGATGAGGCTCGCTCCCCCCTGCTCTCCCATGCCAACCTGTACTTCTCTGCCATGGCATTTTCCTTTCCTACTGAGCTTATAAACATGACTTACCCTGGGTTTCAATTTTTCATGCAGATCATGTTTGCTGCTGTGTGTCTACTACATAGTAGACATTTGGTAAAACTGGGTGGTTTGAATGAACGGTTGCCTAGGATACTTGTGCTGGTTAATTTTTGTCAACTTCACACAAATGTGAATTATGTGGGAAGAGGGGACCTCAACTGAGGAACTTCCTCCATCAGAGCGGCCTGTGGGTGTGTCTGTGGAGTATTTTCTTGATTGCTGGTTGAGGGAGGAGATCCCAGCCCACTGTGGGTGGTGCCATCCCTAGGCTGTGTAAGAAAATAGCTGAGAAAGTCAGGGGGAGCAAGCCAGTGCGCAGCCTTCCTGCATAGTCTCTGCTTCAGCTCCTGCCTCCAGATCTGGCCTTGGTTTCCTGCCTTTCTCTCCACAAGTTGGTTTTGGTCAGTGTTTTAGCAACAGCAACAGAAAAGAAACTAGGACAATACTGTTATCAAAGGTAATTGTCTTAATTGGGCCATTCAGCACCTTCTCCACCATGAAGACTTCAGTGCCGGTCACCATCATCCCTGCCTTGGTCTCCTACCACATCTTCCCTTGCTGGTCTACTGACTTCCATTTATCTGTCTACTGTATATTTGCCACATAGCAGTACCAGATTATTTGCGAACACCAAATTATGCCGCTCTGAAACTCTAAAGCTCCTTTTGCTTTTCTTTGCACTCTGAACAAATCTGCGATTTCTACGTTGGCCTTTTAGATCCTAGATGATCAGTTCAGACTGACCTTTCATTCTGCCTGCTGTCGTTCTTCCCTTTGTGCTCAAGGGTGTCTGACCTGCTTGCTATTTTTCTAACGCGGAAGATAGTCCTCTTCCAGGACTTTTTCTTTCCACTTTTTTCCCAAGATGTAATATTGTTCCTCAGTTTCGGAGTCATCTTGCTTCCTCAGTTCATGTAGACTCTGGTCTTCTGTTTGCCAACTGTTGTTCTCTGCTTTACTTTTCTCATAACTGTGCTCTCTCTTTGCCTTGGTGAGATGGGACATTTGTGCATTTTTATACTCATTTGTTGTCTCACTACAATGCGAGCCTATGAGGGAAGGAGTTTGTTTTGTAACTGCTGGAGCCTATGACTCAGATTAGTGCCTCCTTAGCTTTGAGTGTTGGTTGAATGACTAACTGTTGGTTGAGTGTTAAATAAGCGTTAGCTGAATGAATAAGTGATGTGCTCTGCCAGTCCCCTTGAGCTGCCCTCCTTAGAGCCATCAAGCTGTACACCTGCTTTCAACTATGTGGCCTGGGAAAGTGCCCTTCTTTTACTTTGGATTCAAATTCACTCTTTGGTGTATCTATTTGAATTTTGCAAATAAAATGTACTTTCTGCCTTATCTGATCCTGCCTACATAATTTAAACCGGATAATTACATGTGCTTTAAGATGGATTGGAAAAAAATTTTCATTCAAATCTAGCTGATTTTAGGTTATGCTTAAGGAGTTCATACATCTTTCTTTTGACCAAGTGCTCTGGAAAATTATAGAAAGAGGAATTTTCATCTTTTAGACATATCCAGAAACATGTTTTAGAACAGAATTAAATTTATATATTCAAATGCATGTTGTGTTAGAATTGGTTTACCACAAATTATTAAGTAATTAAAAAATTTTTAAGTCAACTGTTTTCTAAAATGACCTTAACAGTTAGTGGTAAGAAAATAAATGTGTCTTCAAATGACATTGCTGTGTCAAAATGACTTGTGTGTAACATGGACTGATGCCTGCATGCGCTCCAACCTTCTCCATAGGAGCCAGTGAGTGCTTCTTGGTCAAGGTCCTGAGGTTTTGTTTAGGAGATTATTGCTTTGCCTCCATAGCTCCTGGACAATTAGAAATGTATCCAAAGCAATTTGCTGGCGTTGTGAATTTGTTGTTTATTTTTCTTTGCTCGTTTTGTGCTTGTGCTATGTTCTTAGTAGTTTTCAGGATTGCCTCACACATGTGGCTGCTAGAGCCTCAGCCTGACCTCCCAGTCAGACAGGGAAGTTAGTATTAAATTTATGTTACAGAACAGAAAACAAAGCCCAAGAAAGAATGTGATACCCTCTGTCTAAATCATGTTGTGAAGGAGGGAAGAGGCTTTGTCTGCCGTTTCGTCCCCTTAGCATCACGTATTTCAGAGTTCCTGCTCTAGCATATGTTTCTCATTTTATATTTTAAATGAACAAAATATAAACTAATAAATAACCACATAAACTATGTACATATTAGAAAGACGTTTTGCATATATGACACTAATTTGTTTTGTTTTATTTAAAGATCTTAACATTTGCCTGTGATGCCTGTAAACAAGTGATCCTTCACGTTCCCTCTGAACTACATGCTGAGAAATTTATTGGCAGAGGTAAAAACAAACAAACAAACAAAAAAACAGCTAAAATATGTAATAAGTCCTAATCTTGTATGTGTGTTAAATGTTGCTATAACCTTTAGGACTGTAAGTGAAATGTGACTAAGAGTTAAGTCATTGATATGGTACAATCACAATTAAATCATTAACATAGTACCTGTTAATACCCGTAGTGTGCTAACAAAGGAGTACTATTCTTAATTGAAGAATAAAGTTACTCAAAGTAGTTTGAAAGGTTTAGTTTGGTAATAAGATAACTTCTGATATTTACATTACTTGGAAGATATGGTATACGGGAAGCATGCTTCTGAGTGTTTGAGAATGTTGAAACTATTTCAGTTTAAAGGTGGTACTTTGGATTTTCATCTTAAAACATTTTTATATTTTGTTGTGTTTTACTTCCTTTTGGGTTTTTTTCCTTCTGTTTTGTTTTGGTTTTTGGAGTTGTGCTGAAGATTGAACCCAGGCCATTGTGTGTTTCCCAATAGCTAATTTCAGTTAATAAAGAAAACCTTTTTTCCAGTTGCCTTCAGTGTTCAAATACTGGGTGTACATGCCTTCATTTCAGATCTTGTGTGTCTCTTTACGTTGATATAAAGCAAGCATTAGACATGTGTTTAAGCAGAACTTAACCATATGGTTTTATAAATGCTTTAAAATACTAGACAGTCAACGGTGAATGTAATTCAAGTATTTAGCTCCCCATACATGCATATATTGAGAATACTGTTTAAAGTGTATATTGCTAACATTACATGTTATGTTCCACTTTACAAGTGACTGTAATGTGTATTTTCCACAGTTAACCTGAAAGACTGCTTTAAGTCTGCAAATCTAATTCATTCGAGTGATCCTGATTTCCAAATTTTGGAGGACGGTTCAGTCTACACAACCAATGCTGTTCTTTTGTCCCCGGGGCAAAGGCATTTTACCATATGGCTTTTTAACACAGTCAGCCAAGAAGGGAGAGCGATATCTGTCCTTTTAGAAGGTCCAGCAGAGGTAAGCAAGACGCAGCAAGGGAAGCACTGGATGTGGCTCCAAGATGTGGGATCAAAGAGATCCTGGTATGGTTTGGGGAAGAATGGACAAGAGAGCTCATTACAAGTCGCTATCCATTCTCAATTGGGACATAAACAGAGAAAATATGCTAAGATACAGCATGAGAACTTGAAGTTGGACACCAAGCAGCATTTATTAGTCTTTATTGTCGAATGGATTTCCAAAAACAAGTTTTGAAACTCCCTTTAGATGAAGAAAAGCATTTTTTTTCTTCATACATCCTAGCATTTTGGCTTCTCTTGGTTCAAGGCAGGGAGCAGTCCACTGGGTTCTGCATTGTGGACTTTAAAGGAGTTTTTCTGACTATTCCTGACATGGGTAGCATACTCCTGGAGAAAGGTGACCCTTTTCCCTTCTAAAATTATGATGGACCGGATCTCCTTTTAAGGGCATTTCTTTCCACAATCATCTAGAAAAGCCTACAAAAAGAGTGGGGGGTCACAACTACAATGCAAGTGATATTGTAATGATGTCAAGCCTTGGAGAATGCAGACGGGTAATGTGCATGTGGTGGGGAATGTCCTGGAGTGCCTTAGTTTCTGATCTACTGAGACCAGCCAAAGGGAAGCTTCAAATATTCTTGGTTTCAAAGGGACGTCTGACCCTCAGGAGATTCAGATGCAGCGGTATCTTTAGTATATCTTGTAGCCTTAGGAAATAGGCTCTTTTAGGAGGAGGTTCAGGCCACATACAAGTCTTGGATTGTGACACCCGAGATCAGAGTAACCTTTCCTCAGCCCCATTCTTCACTGGAAGCAGTTTGAGAGCTGTCACCACATTTCTCTCCTTGTTCTGATGCAGATTTCTGTTGGTCCCCTGGCTCTGGGGAGTTGCTGGTGAGTGGAACATGCTTGTGTTAGATGTGGAATGAACCCACCCTCAACCTCCTGACACCCCCTTCCTTCCATGTTCTTGCACGGCAACGTGGCAGCAAGAATGTTCCTTTCAGTGTTGCATCAATGCTTTCCAAATCCATCTGTCTTCCATATTTCCACCAAGTCATTTTGTCAATAGATTGTTGGGATAATAATTAGATAGCTCTTCTTTGCTGTTTTGGGGTATTGAGGTTCAGTTTGGTTTTTGAGCACCACCATGATTTTACTCCTCTCCAGCTAATCCTTATGAGGGGAGAAAGGTATATCAAAGTCCTAATGTTTAAGAATGAAGACGTTATTGGCTTTATTGGTGAATACTTACTTTCCTGTGTTCTAAATCAAGGTACTGAACAAAAGGCATCCAGAAAAAGTTCTAAGCCGTGCCAAGAGAAGATGGGCTCCTATTCCCTGTTCCATGCAAGAGAATTCCTTGGGTCCTTTCCCTCTTTTTCTCCAACAGGTACAACTTACTTTGGTGGCTAAAGTCTGTAGTGTCCATATTTTAAAAATTAATATTTAAAATTATTGTTTGTTATGTTAGGTCTAGAGACGCAGCTCAGTAGCAGAGTGCTTGCCTAATGTTCCTGAGGCCCTGATTCAGTCTTTAGTACTGAAAATGAAAAAAAAAAAAAAAAAAAAGTAGCATATGTGAGCGGAGGCCTGGTGTATCCTGTTTATATGTGTAAATAAGTTTCTTAATGGTTATGCATTTGCTTTGCAACTTTAGTCACAGAAAAGTGGGTTATAAAACTGTACAACTTACCTGGCATTCGCAAGCATGTTTCCTGAGCGATTCTTTTTTCTGTCAACAAGTTTATCATAAAGCCTGGGTCTACCCTAGAAATCCAAAAATATATTCCACAATAAAGTTAGAATTCAGAGCTGAAGGAGAAAGACACATCAGCTTTTCTGTTGCTTATACCCAAGTCCATTTCTTTCCTTAGATTTTTTAAAATTAACCTTTAAATTAGTACACGAAAGAATGACCTTTTCATGTGCGTAGCAATGAGCTTTGGTCATCCATACCACACTGTCCTTTCTTGTCCCCTTCTCCAGTCTCCCAAGTGCAGTTCTTTGTTTTTTAAAGATGTCTTTATTTAATGTGTGTGTGTGTGTGTGTGTGCATGTGTGCCTGTGTGAATTTGTGTATAACATATGCATGTAGTGCCCTTGGAGGCCAGAAGAAGACATTGGCTCCTCCTGAAACCAGAGGTACAGGTATTTGTGAGAAGTCCCATTTGGGTGCTGGGAATAGAACCCAGGTCCTCAGGAAGAGCAGTAAGTGCTCTTAACCACTGAATCATCTCTTGCCCCAAGTCCACGCAGAATCCAGTTTCCTTCCTTCCTTCCTTCCTTCCTTCCTTCCTTCCTTCCTTCCTTCCTTCCTTCTCCCTCCCTCCTAAGTTCAGAGAACCTCCTTCTGGGGTGGCGATGCCATTGGAACTAAGTTCAGAGAACCTCCTTCTGGGGTGGCGATGCCATTGGAACTAAGTTCAGAGAACCTCCTTCTGGGGTGGCGATGCCATTGGAACTAAGTTCAGAGAACCTCCTTCTGGGGTGGCGATGCCATTGGAACTAAGTTCAGAGAACCTCCTTCTGGGGTGGCGATGCCATTGGAACTAAGTTCAGAGAACCTCCTTCTGGGGTGGCGATGCCATTGGAACTAAGTTCAGAGAACCTCCTTCTGGGGTGGCGATGCCATTGGAACTAAGTTCAGAGAACCTCCTTCTGGGGTGGCGATGCCATTGGAACTAAGTTCAGAGAACCTCCTTCTGGGGTGGCGATGCCATTGGAACTAAGTTCAGAGAACCTCCTTCTGGGGTGGCGATGCCATTGGAACTAAGTTCAGAGAACCTCCTTCTGGGGTGGCGATGCCATTGGAACTAAGTTCAGAGAACCTCCTTCTGGGGTGGCGATGCCATTGGAACTAAGTTCAGAGAACCTCCTTCTGGGGTGGCGATGCCATTGGAACTAAGTTCAGAGAACCTCCTTCTGGGGTGGCGATGCCATTGGAACTAAGTTCAGAGAACCTCCTTCTGGGGTGGCGATGCCATTGGAACTAAGTTCAGAGAACCTCCTTCTGGGGTGGCGATGCCATTGGAACTAAGTTCAGAGAACCTCCTTCTGGGGTGGCGATGCCATTGGAACTAAGTTCAGAGAACCTCCTTCTGGGGTGGCGATGCCATTGGAACTAAGTTCAGAGAACCTCCTTCTGGGGTGGCGATGCCATTGGAACTAAGTTCAGAGAACCTCCTTCTGGGGTGGCGATGCCATTGGAACTAAGTTCAGAGAACCTCCTTCTGGGGTGGCGATGCCATTGGAACTAAGTTCAGAGAACCTCCTTCTGGGGTGGCGATGCCATTGGAACTAAGTTCAGAGAACCTCCTTCTGGGGTGGCGATGCCATTGGAACTAAGTTCAGAGAACCTCCTTCTGGGGTGGCGATGCCATTGGAACTAAGTTCAGAGAACCTCCTTCTGGGGTGGCGATGCCATTGGAACTAAGTTCAGAGAACCTCCTTCTGGGGTGGCGATGCCATTGGAACTAAGTTCAGAGAACCTCCTTCTGGGGTGGCGATGCCATTGGAACTAAGTTCAGAGAACCTCCTTCTGGGGTGGCGATGCCATTGGAACTAAGTTCAGAGAACCTCCTTCTGGGGTGGCGATGCCATTGGAACTAAGTTCAGAGAACCTCCTTCTGGGGTGGCGATGCCATTGGAACTAAGTTCAGAGAACCTCCTTCTGGGGTGGCGATGCCATTGGAACTAAGTTCAGAGAACCTCCTTCTGGGGTGGCGATGCCATTGGAACTAAGTTCAGAGAACCTCCTTCTGGGGTGGCGATGCCATTGGAACTAAGTTCAGAGAACCTCCTTCTGGGGTGGCGATGCCATTGGAACTAAGTTCAGAGAACCTCCTTCTGGGGTGGCGATGCCATTGGAACTAAGTTCAGAGAACCTCCTTCTGGGGTGGCGATGCCATTGGAACTAAGTTCAGAGAACCTCCTTCTGGGGTGGCGATGCCATTGGAACTAAGTTCAGAGAACCTCCTTCTGGGGTGGCGATGCCATTGGAACTAAGTTCAGAGAACCTCCTTCTGGGGTGGCGATGCCATTGGAACTAAGTTCAGAGAACCTCCTTCTGGGGTGGCGATGCCATTGGAACTAAGTTCAGAGAACCTCCTTCTGGGGTGGCGATGCCATTGGAACTAAGTTCAGAGAACCTCCTTCTGGGGTGGCGATGCCATTGGAACTAAGTTCAGAGAACCTCCTTCTGGGGTGGCGATGCCATTGGAACTAAGTTCAGAGAACCTCCTTCTGGGGTGGCGATGCCATTGGAACTAAGTTCAGAGAACCTCCTTCTGGGGTGGCGATGCCATTGGAACTAAGTTCAGAGAACCTCCTTCTGGGGTGGCGATGCCATTGGAACTAAGTTCAGAGAACCTCCTTCTGGGGTGGCGATGCCATTGGAACTAAGTTCAGAGAACCTCCTTCTGGGGTGGCGATGCCATTGGAACTAAGTTCAGAGAACCTCCTTCTGGGGTGGCGATGCCATTGGAACTAAGTTCAGAGAACCTCCTTCTGGGGTGGCGATGCCATTGGAACTAAGTTCAGAGAACCTCCTTCTGGGGTGGCGATGCCATTGGAACTAAGTTCAGAGAACCTCCTTCTGGGGTGGCGATGCCATTGGAACTAAGTTCAGAGAACCTCCTTCTGGGGTGGCGATGCCATTGGAACTAAGTTCAGAGAACCTCCTTCTGGGGTGGCGATGCCATTGGAACTAAGTTCAGAGAACCTCCTTCTGGGGTGGCGATGCCATTGGAACTAAGTTCAGAGAACCTCCTTCTGGGGTGGCGATGCCATTGGAACTAAGTTCAGAGAACCTCCTTCTGGGGTGGCGATGCCATTGGAACTAAGTTCAGAGAACCTCCTTCTGGGGTGGCGATGCCATTGGAACTAAGTTCAGAGAACCTCCTTCTGGGGTGGCGATGCCATTGGAACTAAGTTCAGAGAACCTCCTTCTGGGGTGGCGATGCCATTGGAACTAAGTTCAGAGAACCTCCTTCTGGGGTGGCGATGCCATTGGAACTAAGTTCAGAGAACCTCCTTCTGGGGTGGCGATGCCATTGGAACTAAGTTCAGAGAACCTCCTTCTGGGGTGGCGATGCCATTGGAACTAAGTTCAGAGAACCTCCTTCTGGGGTGGCGATGCCATTGGAACTAAGTTCAGAGAACCTCCTTCTGGGGTGGCGATGCCATTAGAACTAAGTTCAGAGAACCTCCTTCTGGGGTGGCGATGCCACTGGAACTAAGTTCAGAGAACCTCCTTCTGGGGTGGCGATGCCATTAGAACTAAGTTCAGAGAACCTCCTTCTGGGGTGGCGATGCCACTGGAACTAAGTTCAGAGAACCTCCTTCTGGGGTGGCGATGCCATTGGAACTAAGTTCAGAGAACCTCCTTCTGGGGTGGCGATGCCATTAGAACTAAGTTCAGAGAACCTCCTTCTGGGGTGGCGATGCCACTGGAATTAAGTTCAGAGAACCTCCTTCTGGGGTGGCGATGCCACTGGAATTAAGTGAGGTTCAGTAGTTGCATGAACCTCAGTTTCTTTACTGTGGGAGAAAGTTAAATAACTGTGAGAAGTTTGGGCGCGGTGCTCAGCGAAGCTTCCCAGTCTTTTAGCCATCCTGCCAACTTCCTGTGGTGGGACAGGAGCTCATGTGTGAGAACTTGACCTCATTCTGGTCTGATTTCCTAGCAGGACCCGGTGGTCCTCTTACTTAACTCAGTTTTAATTGTTCTGTATCTATTTTGGATGAATTAATTATTCACGGGGAGGCCAAACTAATTGTGGAGACAAGCAGGCTTTGACTTGTTAGAAGCTGCAGCTTGGCTTTCTAAGAACTTGTAGGGGTCTGCTTCTGTGGCAGCTGTGTGAGATAAATTAGTATTAAAATTCACGTTATAAATCTAAAAAGATAAATGACACTCCATCAAAAAGTCTGTAGTCATTTATTCGTTCTATTTCTTTTTTAAATATTTTATTTATTATTTTTATTTTTTGTGTATGAGTGTAGTGCCTGCATGTATGTGAGTGCACCCGTGTCGTGCAATGCCGCGGAGGTCAGAAGAGGGTTTCCGATTCCCCTGGAACTGGAGTTAAGGATGGTTTGTAGCTGCCATGTGGGTGCTGGGAATTGAACCCAGGTCCTCTGCAAAAGCAGTTAGTGCTCTTAACTGCTGAGCTATCTCTCCAGCCCTATTTTTTCTAGCTTCTGTTCTTCAAATTAAAATATTCTTAAGAAATGACTTACTAAAATGTAACCACCGGGCTGCCTAAAGTTCTGACAAAAACTGATCTTGTATCCCAGTCAACTGCAACCAGAGAGTTTGTAATCTAAAATTAAGAAATATCTAAAACTGGTACTTAAAATCTATGCATCTGAAACTGTCAGATTATTAAAGAAATCAGGATTTTGGTTTTGGAAAATACTAACAATATTATTATTGTGAACAACATACAGCAAGAATGAGGAAATTAAAATTCTCCACATGATTCTACGAGGTAAATTTAAGCATATTACACTACTTCATGAAATTAACACGTGTCTTTTGGCAACAAAGCTGTGTCCACATCCACAAATAGTAACACGTGGCAGGAGAAAGACTTCAGGCCTGAAGAGGTCCCAAATGAGAGTCAACGGACATTTGCACCCAATTTTATTTTAAAGACTTGAGAGCCAATGGACGTTTGCACCCGATTTTCTTTTAAAGACTTACTTGAGGCATGGCTGAGGGATCGGTTTACCCTGTGTGAGGCCCTGAGTTTGATCCCAGCACCACAAAACAAAGCAGGTTTTCCACTTTTTTCCTCATTTGACTCTTCACAGCTAACGGCCTTTGCAACAACTCCAGATGGGTACACGCCGGAATACCCCCTGCCTCTCATAATTAAGATCGAAGATGAGAATGATAACTACCCGATTTTTACAGAAACAACGTACAGTTTTACAGTTTTTGAAAACTGCCGAGTTGGTAAGTAGCTACATCAGTGGAACATGGCAGCTTAAATGGGCTTCAGTTCATAACTCGAGTTTCTCTCTGGGCCCCAGGAAAGCGGCCTGTCATGATGGTAGAACAAGGAATCTTAGTGGATCTAGTCTGCCTTTCAGTTTGTTTCCTACTTCCACAAGCTTCAGTTTATTATCTGGGAAACGGGTTATCTATAGGCCAGATCTTAGGAGGCTAAATGCAGCCCAGCGCCAAGCTCAGTGCTTTCAAAACAGAATTAAGAAGGTACTTTAGATCTGGAGGGACGACTCAGTGACTAACAGCACGTGCTGTGCTTGCAAAGGACCTGGCTTCTCAACTTCCACAAGGCAGCTAGCAACAGTCAGTAACTCCATTTCCAGGGAATCCAGTGCTGCCATAGGCTTTGAATGCATGTGGTGCACAGACGTGCATGCAGGCAAAATATTCATATACTTCTATAAATTTTTTAAAGTTACTTAACCTTTTGTATTAGTTACTTTTCTTTTGCTGTGATAAACATGACCAAGACAACTTATAGAAGGAAGAGTTTATTATGGTTACAGAGGGTTGAGTCCATCGCAGGAGGGAGGCATGTCAGGAGGCAGCTGCAGTAGAAAGCTGAGGACTCATATCTTCAAGACAACACAGGAAGCAGAAAGACAGACAGGAAGTGGGACAAGGCTATATATCCAAGATCAAACCTCCTTGAAGGTCGGTGACCCTTTCCCCAAAACACCACCAATAGACCAGGCGTTCAAATACTTGGAGCCTGTGGGGGACATTCTCCTTCAAACCATCACACATGCCAGCCACCAACAGTCTGCAACTCCAGTTCCAGGGAACCCAATGCCGTCTTCTGGTGTCCACAGGCACTGCATGTATGTGGTGCACAACCATACATATAGGCAGACACTCATATGTGTAAAGTAAAATAAATTTAAAGTGGTTACTTTACCTCCTACATCAAGGCAACTGAATGCTTTTAAGGGAGCAAGCTCCATGAAAGAAGTCCTTCAGCATTTGGGGACTTAGGCTTGAAGATACTTGCTGAGAAATGAGTGACAGAATTCTGGGTATGGTCAGAAGAGTCAGTGTTAATAATCCCAGTATTACCTCAGCCTTGCAAGGCACAGTCCAGTTTAGCTGGAAGTCAAAATGTGATTTTGGGAATGGACTCTACAAAGACCTAGTTGAATCAATAACTTTTAGAGAAACTTGGCTCATATGGATAATCTAAATATAGTCTTGAAAACAGAAAAAGACTCAAGAATAATTAGAAATTTTCAGTTTATAAAAAAAGGTTCACAGATGGATAACATCAACATTTATAGATGCCTACATTAAAATACAATAAAAATAGGCACGATCACCAAATTCCAATAGTATTAGAACATCATATTTAAAAGGAAGGGGTAGGGCTGGAGAGATGGTTCAGTGGTCAAGAGCACTGGCTGTTCTTGCAGAGGACCCAGGTTCAGTTCCCAGCACCCATTTGGTGACTAACAACCAACCGTCTGTAACTCCAGCAGATCCAGTGCTCTCTTCTGGCTTCCATGGGGATTGTACACATGGATGTATTTACAAACATGCAGGCAAAAACTCTTATACAAATAAAAAAGAAAATCAACTAATAGAAACAGTATTAAAAGGAAGTGATGCTTTATGGTGGTCTGTAACCCTGTGAAAGCCATGATTCTGGTGCAGAATTAAGTGGTCCAGAACTCTTCTGAAGTAGACAGAACGGAGTAAAGTCAGAGAGGTTGAACATGTGAAAGTGAGAGAATTAATGGAGAATTTTCCGCGTGCAGGTTCTTCTGTGGGGCAGGTTTGTGCGACTGACGCTGACGAGCCTGACACGATGCACACTCGTTTGAGGTACTCCATCTTGGAGCAGCATCCTTCTCCACCCACCGTGTTTACCATGCATCCAACCACAGGTGTGATCACCACCACATCATCTCAGCTGGACAGAGAGGTAACCAGTATTCACAGATAGGGCTGGATTAGAATATGACTAAAAAGCCCAGGTTCATCATCCTGAATCTGCAAAATCCGAATTCTGAAATGCTTGAAATTTTTCATTCACCAATTGGACATCACAAATTGAATATTTCATACCTGCCCTCATGAATAGATTGCAATAAAAAAAACAGGCGTGCTAAAAAATGGTGTAACATCACCTTTGAGCCTTGTATATGACATAAATAAATCAAAAGAATTCTATATTTAAACTTGGAGCCATCACTAAAACATCTCATTATCTGTATGCAAATATTCTAAAATCTGCAAACATATGAAATCAAAAAGCATTCCTAGTTTCCAGGCATTTTAGATGAGGGATGCTCAAGTTATGCCTGGACGTCTCTGAACATCACCTGTGCATGTGCTTTTAAAAATTCTTTTTTGTGTATTATTTTTATGTTATATGTATGGGTGTATTGCCTGCATGTAGGTACTGTGTCATTCAATGCCCACAGAAGTCAGAAGAAATCATCAGATCCCCTGGAACTGGAATTACAAATGGTTGTTAGCCACCATGTAGGTACTAGGATTCAAACTGGGGTCCTCTGCAAGAGCACCAGTGCTCTTAACCATTGAGCCATCTCTCTAGCCCCTGTGCATGTTTTTTTTTTTAAAGCATGATTTGTTCTAAGCTTTAGGAAATTTATTATTCAGTATGTTAGTGAAGGTCATTAAATAACCTCATAGCATGCTAATTTTGAATGTCTAGTTTATTGTCTCCTGAATTTTATCCATTATGAAATCATATTTTCTAATATAAAGTTTTATTATATTAAACATAGAAAGTGGACCTTGCAGAAATATGTAGAAATTTATTATCTACTGAGAAAGAAATTCTCTTGTCTGTGTGTTCTCTCCTTCACCTGTCATATTTATGCTCTTCCCTTTACATAGATTAGAAAGGAAGTTTCTACATCTCTAAACTTTGGTTTCCCATTTCAACTAAGTACTTGAAATCCTTACTTGGATGTCTGAAAGGCACCTAAGATGTAATGTGCTTAAAATGGAACTTGTCTTCTTCTAAGTAAGCTCTCTTTCCCATATTGTCTAGTTAAAATGACATTAGCAAATTCTTCCTCTCCTAATTTTTTCACTGTTAACTGGAAATCATGTTCTCAAAATTGCATTTAATGTCTCCTTTCACCTTCTAGATCAAATGACCTCCCAAAGCATGTTGGTATCACCGCTAAGATTATTTTATTTTTGTATTCCTTCTGTTTTTATGGCTATTTAATTCAGTTATTTATTTGCTTAGTTACTTATTATGCACTCCCTTAAGCATTGCTTATTGGAATTCCTACCTATAGCCATCGTTCCGTCCTGTTTATAATCCATAATGTCTAATTTTAGAGTGATATGTGATTGTTGGGTATTTTGTTGATTCTTACAAACTTCCTGTCACCTTTATTTTCTCTTCCTCTCTCAGAGTTGAGAACAGTGGTCCCTAAAATGCCTGCTTTTACTTTCTTAAGTATCATTCGGGATCCCAAAGACCTTTTGTTTATGTGAGTTGTGTTTATGGGCTCTTACTTCTTGAGTATTTAAAGCCAAGAGAAAAGTTAAAATACCTGTTGATTCATTAAAAATAACAGTAAGTGCAGTATAGGTTAACATAAATTTACTTTTTGTAAAAACTAAGTTTATAAAACAATAATTTAGTGAGAAGAACATAGTTGTTTCTAAATCTCTCAAACATGTGGCTTAATATAAAACAAGTAGATTCCTCATGTCCTTCTGCATCCAGACTGTTAAAATACACGACACGAGTTTTTCCTGGAGGGTAGAAAGAAAGTCTGGCATGACCTGAAGTCAAGAAGAAGGAGAGTATTTTAATAGTAATTTCAAGTTTTTGTGGATATTCTTTTCTGATACTACATCAAATTCAAGAAGTGGCAGCTTCCTGTAATGTGGACTCTGAACCCTGTTAATGAACTCTGGTTCTTTGTTACATTAAAATCCATTCCTTGGTCTGTCTTGAACTGTGAGAAGATGTAATATGATGTAAGATTTGTAACATCATGTGCTGGCTTTTCAGAAAACAGTTCAGTAACCTATGCAGATCTTCCAGATAAGACACATCATTAAACGGTGTTGAAGAAATCACTTCTGTTAATGCCTTAATGATTGGTACAAGTTATCCACAGTTATCATTGATAAGCTTTCGTTTTCCTTGAAATGAGCTGACAAAGGGTTTTCTAAATGCTTTCCTCTGAATAAACACAGGTTCTTTTTATGTACAAATACTATAAAAAATCAAGCAGTATAAGAAAGCTTCCAAATCAAACCCTTCAAAGGAATACTTACAGGTCTGGAGAGATTGCTCAGTGGTTGAGAGCTTGTTCTGTTCTTGCAGAGGACCCAAGTCCAGTTCCCAGCACCCATGTTAGGCAGCTCAGAACCATCTGTAACTCTAGCTCCAAGGAATCTGATGCCCTCTTCTGGGCTCTCTAGTCACCCACACTCATGTGCACATATCCTCACAAAAATAGACACACACACATCGAAAAATAATAAAAAATTAATCTTAAAAAATGAATATTTATGACAGAATTAGTTGAAAGCACTAGATCCTTGAAAGGGCTTGCCAAGTTCTGGTCGACAATACCTTTATTACCTCAAGATTCCAGTTTTTATCTGTTCTTATAATATTTTTAAACATTGGAGTTTCTCTTCCATCTGAAGATACCACATCAATATATTTTTAAAATTTAAAAAAATATTTTATTTGTTATTTTTATTTTATGTGTATGCGTGTATTGCCTTGCATGTAGGTAAGTGTACCTGTGTTGTGCAGTGCCCGTGGAGCACAGAAGAGAACATCGGATCCCCTGGAACTGGAGTTACGGACAGCTGTTAGCTGCCATGTGGGTGCTGGGATTCGAACCTGGGTCTTCTGCAAGAACAACCAGTGTTCTTAACCACTGAGCCATCTCTCCAGCCCCGACATCAATATTTTTTGATAATGCAAACTCATTTCCTTACTTCTCAGCCAGGTGGTTGTTTTCAATAAATCACAGTTCAGAACAACTCAGAGAAAATATATATTCTGTCCTGAAAGAGTGGCCTGGGCTTTTTTAAAGTGTCAGTTGAAATGAGCCATTACTATTCAAGTCAATACACATAATAGGTTACGAGGAGGAGGAGGAGCTGGAGGGGTAAAAAGCATAAACAGAGACTTTAGTGCTAGTACATGAAGATAAGGAGGCTCAGCAGGTGATGAAATTACGGGAAGAAGGTGGCTTTAGACGAGAAAGGCAGACAGTGAAGGTAGACGGTTAGGATGGATGGTCGTGTGTGACTAGAGTAATTAGTCATTTTATAGATGAGGAGTCCCGGGAAAAGAGGTCTTTCCATCTCTTCAAGAACGCATTTTTTATTTTCAGAGCTGAGGTGAGAATCCAGGCCATCTAGATCCCACTCAGGAAGGCATTATTATATTTTTTTTCAGTTCTTCTGTCACTCAGTCGCGTATGATGAGTGGAATCATGATGAGGAGAAAAATACACTTTAGTGTGGTGCTGGGCCCTTTGCAGCATCTGATGGACGTTTTTCATGGGATAGTCCCAAGTCTTGATCTGTGTGTTAATTTAGTGGTCTTTTTATAGATGTAAAGTAGACCTTTAAAATCTTTTATTCACAGGTTATTTCACTTTGTTTCATTACAAGACTGTTGTATCATTGCTGGGCATTTTTATAAATGGAAGGTGTACGTTGGGTAGGACATAAAAGTTTTTATTTATTCCCATGTAACATTAAATGTATTTGTGAGTACAGCACTTCCTCTCCTGAACAATGTTGAAGCCAACCGACCACATATTCTTTGAGCTGATAGCACTTTACATTTGAGAAACAATTCCATTTTCATAAATTAATTGAAAATTGCTAGTGTGAGGCAATTTGTCTAGACATAAATGCCATAAAACTCAATGTGCCCCTAATTTATTAGTGCAAGAGTATGTTAGGATTTTATTTATAATGTTGCTGCTTTTAACTAATAGTTGCATTTTTCTTTGCTATTAGTTAATTGACACATACCAGTTGAAAATAAAAGTACAAGACATGGATGGCCAGTATTTTGGGCTGCAGACAACTGCAACTTGTATCATCACCATCGGGGATGTGAATGACAACCTGCCCACGTTTACTCGCACTTCTGTAAGTGTGTGACATGTAAAGGAAAAGTGCACAACAGGGTTAGTTGTAAAGTATGCACACCTGTGATGTGCCCTGTGGTTTCAGATGAAGTTCTCACAATAACATAAATGTCCTTTGCTGTTAAAGTTTTAAATCATGAGAACACAGTACTTTGGAAATCGGAAGAATGGGGCTTTCTTGACATGGCAGTCTAGTTTTGTGAGGGCTCCTTAATCAAGTTTTTTGTTTCTTTTTGTTATTTTAGTATGTGACATCAGTGGATGAAAATACGGTTGATGTAGAAATCTTACGTCTTACCATTCAAGATAAGGATTTAGTCAACAGTCCTAATTGGAGAGCTAATTATACCATTTTAAAGGGCAATGAAAATGGAAATTTTAAAATTGTAACAGATCCCCAAACCAATGAAGGAATACTGTGTGTAGTTAAGGTAAGAATTAATTAGTAAATTAGCTATCTTTAATTTATAACATCATAGACTAGCAGACTGGGATTTAATGGAGAGAAAGATTCAGGTAATGTAGGAATAAAATAGATAATACGGGTGAATACAAATAGTATTTTCTTCGTGTATATGTAACAGAGTGAACATGTTCACTCAGGGTAATCTATTATAAAGGAATGACTTTTTAAAAAATCATTTGTGTTTGAGTCACATAGTATAGTATCCACTGTAGAACTGATATCTTTTAACAGTTCAAAAAATAGCATGGCTTTGTTATCCTTTTCTAGACTATTCTTTCTGTTTCTAAGTTAAGGAGTTTCCACCTATTTATTGAATTTCCCAAATGAGTCATACCTGGTCAGACAGAGAGACTGCCTGTAGATCTAGTGTCTGTTTCCTGTATACAGTGTATTCTTAGCATCTTTGACACTCAGAAAAGTCCCTCTTTCTAAGACTTCCCTCTAACAATGCTACACATGGGAGAAGTCCCAGTTAACTTAGGAACCAAAGTTGCCAAGTGAAGTGACGTGAGCTGCTTTGACTTTGTACAAAGTCAGAGGTCGAACACGTTCTCAAGCAGCGTTGGACCCAACATGATAAATCCGTTTTCCTTACAATGATGAGAAGTAGCTGCAGTTTCTGAGTTAATTCTGTTTCAAAACAGCAAATAAAAGGCATGTAAATCCTGTCTTCCTCTGCCCCACCTCTATCTTAGTCCTAAGAGAGAAGTTTATCCTTGTGAAGTCTAAGGCCTGAAAAGCGTCCCATCATCCATACTCACTACCCTGCAGATCAGACAACATAAAGCCCGACCTTGCATCAAACTTGGTACTTCTAGTTATTACTAAAGGAACCTGGATGGAAGCAATTAAAAAGAGAGCATATAATGTCCTTAACCTTTTATATTCTTGTCCCTCCCCTCTTGAAAACATTTTATAGGGCTGAGGATATAGCTCAGTTGGTGGTCTGCTAGCCTAGCATGCACAAGGTCCTGGGTTCGATTTCTAGCACCACATGAACTGCATGTAGTGGGGCATGCCTGAAAGCCAAGAATTTGGGAGGTGGAGGCAGGAGGATCAGTTTGAGATCATCCTTGATATAGTGATTTCCAGGCCAGCCCAGTAGACCTGAGAACCTGTCTTCAAAAAAACATTTTTAATATAATTTGACTCAATTTTTCCACCCCAAACTGGGTGCAAATGATGGTATTCATCTGAAGATCATAAATCAAGTGGCTCTGAAAATACAAGTAAATACCTGTCTGTTTTGATATGGACCCCGAAGATGCGTCTCCTGTGCAAACATCTAAGTGACCCTGAAATCTTTATCAGTGTCTAAGATACCACTTGCTTTCCATTTTCATTTGAGGGAAAGATATTTTATTCCAGCTCCATTAAAATTCTGAATTATTTAAAAGATTTCCTTCTCCACCTCCCATGATTTCAGACCTATGTTGAATATTTTCATAACTGTTCCCAACCTGTTACATATTTCCAAATTTGGCAAGTCCCATATGTGGTTAGCTTTGCCAGCTAACCACATGATTTGACCTGAGTTTTCAATACATTTTTATGTAGCCTCTGGATTTTGAAGAAAGACAGCAAGTGACCCTGCAAATTGGTGTAGTTAACGAAGCTCCGTATACTAGAGAGGCCAGCGGAAGGTCACCCATGAGCACAGCCACCGTGACTGTCACCGTGAGGAATCAGGATGAGGGCCCCGAGTGCATCCCTCCAGCACAAACTGTTCGGATTCGAGAAAATGCACCTGCGGGAACAAGGAGCAATGGGTACAAGGCAGTCGACCCAGAGACCAGGAGTAGCAGCGGCATAAGGTGGTGGTGATTTTATTGTTCCTTTCACATCTGCTGTGTTAGAAAAGCCCGTCATTTTGTTATCAGCATTCTAATTTGGCTTATGATGCTTTTGTTATGTTAATTCATCATGGTTAATAGGTACAGGAAGCTAAGTGATCCAAGAGGGTGGGTCACCGTTGATGAAGACTCAGGATCAATCACAGTCTCCCGAAACCTGGATAGAGAGGCTGAGACCGTCAGAAACAGCATATATAATATTACTGTCCTTGCATTAGATGCAGGTAAGAATTCTGTTTTTAAGACAGGTGCAGATTCTTCAACTGTTTACTTAATCAAGTTTTTTTTTTTTTTTTTTGGTCTTTTTGAGATGGGGTCTCCCTGTAGCCCCAGCTCTCCTGGAACTCACTATGTAGACCAGGCTGGCCTTGAACTCACAGAGATCCACCTCCCTCTGACTCCTGAGTGCTGGGATTAAAGGCGTGCACCACCACGCCGGGCTTAACCAAGTTTTTTAAAGTCATAGTTTATTATTAATCTTGTGGTGCTAGGGATCAAACCCAGACCTTGCACATACTAGGCAAACACAACCACTGAGACACAGCCCTAGCTGAACAACACACACTTTTAAAGCTGGTTCCATACAATCTCAGTTTACTTCTCTTCAGTCTGACATACAGAATAATTCAGAGGTGTTCTATCATTTGTTAAGTCATGTCTGTTTCCTAACAGCATCTTCAGTATTAAACACAATTTAAAATAATTTAGGTTAAGAGATAAAATCATAATATATTAAAGTTAATCATTAAAAGCTGAGAAAACTGCTTTAGAAAAATCAGCTCTAACTTATTGACTTATTTTTCTTCCAGCTATTGCATTTTGTCAGGAGAACTCATAAGAGGGAGAATGTGCTTCATGCCACTCAGTACACTCTAGAAAACACTTCACTTTTATAGGAAATTAACGTACTTGGGGGCTAGAATTCTGATAAAAGATGTAAAAATAAATCATAGTCACAATTAATAGCAAATTCAAGTCAAACTATGAGTCCATACTTTTCTAGTTTTATTTTTGTTGTTGTGATAAAATACCCTGATAAAAAGCAACTTAGGGAAGAAATATCTTATTTTACTTAGTCCAGCATTGCTGGGCAGTCAAGACCAAACATGAAGCCGCTGGCCACACTCACAGCCAAGAGCAGCAGGAGCATGTGCACGCACTTTGCGCTCAGCTGTCTTCTCTATGCTTACACCATCCAGGATGCAAAACCTGGAAATTGCGCTGCCTGCTTGGCTGCTGAGCCTGCGAGTCTGAGTCTTCCCACACCAATTAAAGTGATGGAGACAGTGTCCTGCAGACGTGCCCACGGGCTAATCTGATCCAGTCACTCCTTTCCCAGGCCATTCTACATTTTGTCAAGTTGACAATTAAAACTGGTTGTCACACCATATAAGGTCATAAAATACAGAGTTGTTATGTTTTATGTATCCTGTAAAATTTAGAAAAATGTGAGCACAGTTGTTATATACATAAGACCCATTTAATGCATAAAATATAATTTCATTATATATTTGACTGGGCATGGCACATGAAAGCAGTAGGATCAGTCCAAGGCAGGTCTCAACTGCATAGTAAGTTTGAGGCCAGCCTGGGCTACCTGAGACTTTGTCTCAAAAAATCAGAAAACCAAGATGTGTATTTGAAATTTGTGCCTGTGTAAAATAAATCTGCCAATTATAATAACAAATTATTATGCTCTAACTTGCACAATTAGGATTTATAAGTAATTTTGGAGGATGCTTTGGGTATTGCAAGTCTCTCTGAACTAACTCTGGAATGGTCTCATTAATTAATCTCTTTAAATTTTGCTTCTTTGCTATGTAGTCTGTTCTTCTAGAATCCATATTAGATAAATGCTGCTGTTTTATGTCTATTTGGATTGGAGCTATAATTTCATTTCTATTTGATGAATTCCCTTTCACTGTTTGGAAGTTGCCTTGCATAGAGTGAATTCGTCTTCTGATGGTGATTTTGTCTGTTTTCCTTGACATTGCTCCTGTACGAATTCAGGTGGCACGCCCGACATCATCTTGACCCGCAGTCTTGTGGCCTGTACTCCTCTGTGACCCTTGGTTCAGAACCCGTTTTTAACCTGGTGCTCTGTGCTCCAGGCCAGTCTGGTCTAGCTGTTGTGCCCTAGGGGCCCAGGCTGACGTTATGGTTATCAGGCGGAATTTGAGTCTTCATTGCACTAGGTTTGGAGCTGCCTGCGATGCAGCCCCACGGTGTGGGTGGTACAGGCTTTTTTTTTTTTTTCTTCTTTTCTGCCTCTAGTGGCCAAGGCTGATGTAATAAAGGCGGGAGAACAAGTGGCTTGGAAACAGGACTTCTAGCTTCATATTTGGCTTTGAACTTTGTAACTAATTTATGCCCTGGGTCCATGTCTGCTTCATCTTTGAATGCCCAGGAGTTCCCAGTGCAGTACCTTGTACAGATTTATCCAGATCTCTGTTTTGCTTAATATATAGATGACAGGTTAATTATGGAGGCTACACCCACAGCGATAAGTTCAGTTTACAGGTGATTTTTACATTTGGTGTTCCGCTACCTTCGAATACTTCCATGTATGATTTTTGTTTAAATCTTCCAAATACATATCAAATACATGTCAATGTCCCTATCTAAAACCTGAAGTGTGCTCTTATGTATGTTAAGCTCTGAGCTCTCTAGTATAGCTTCCAAAGACCCCAAGCCCTTCTCCCCTGTCAGCTCCTACCTGCCTGCCTTCTCCTTCATGTTCTCCGTGTCACAGATATGTGTGACACACTGTCCATCACTCTGAACTTCCTTGTACTTTTAAGCATACCACAAATGCCCACACTCATACCCTTTCTTTTTTCCACTTAAAAAAATCAGTTGTCTACAAATTTCCATTCCTAAGTAACATTATTTATTATTATCTGTACAATCCACTTGGACGTATGAAAATTTTTCTTTTAACCTTCCATTACCTATAGCATATTTATTACAACCCATGTACTATCAGTGCTTAATAAATCTGTTTATTAATTTGTAATGTATGATTTCCTGCTGAGAAATGAAGTCATAAAAATGTATTTTTCTGTTATATGTCTAGATGGGAGAAGCTGTAGCGGGACCCTAGGAATTGTACTTGAAGATGTGAATGATAATGGCCCATTCATACCCAGGCAGACAGTGGTGATCTGCAAGTCTACCATGACCTACAGGGAAATTGTGGCAGTTGATCCTGATGAGCCAGTGAATGGCCCGCCTTTCGACTTTCGTTTGGAAAGTTCTGATTCAGAAGTTCTGAGGATGTGGAGACTTAATAGAATTAATGGTGTGTTTTGAAATATTGTTTTTTGCTTGTTAGCATCAGACTAATGTATGTGTGTGTGTATATATATGTATGCATGTATATGTATTTTTTTTTCTTGGTGAAATAGAGGAAAAATTCACTGTGTGGGGAGCAGTCAGAAAGAGCGCACTTTTCTTGGTTTTGGTGTGGTGACTGCCTGTCCAGCATTAGCTTTCAATCCTCTGCAGGGTTCCCTTAGGTGTTCCCTGAATTCCTGTTCTGAAAATTCACCTGCATGCATGCTTTATAACAATTGTGCCCTAGTTGATAAGGGGATCCACGTTTGTTTCAGGTTGTGTCTCTAGGAAGTAGACTCCAAGTCAGACTGCCTTAGCCAGAATGCTTCTTAAGGACTCTGCTTGGGACCAGTAACTGGGACAGGAATGGAAGCAGGGCTGGGAAAAAGAAGTCAAGCGGCACTGCAGGCCAGATGATAGCCTCAGTTAGCTGCATCGGAACATAAGCCAAGTGGCCCTGCAGCGTGACCCCATGCCCGTTCTCTCTCATTGCTCAGTCTATAGATGTGGACTTCCCAAAGGGACATGAACTTGGACAAGAAGGTAGACTCCCTGAAGGTGCTGCTAGTTGCTCGAACAGCTGAGTCAATAATCCCTCCACTGCAGGGGCATCTGTCTGGGAGCATGCCCACCACCCCACTGCCACCATGTTGACGTCTCACCATTTTCTCCACTTTGTTGTCTTTGGGAAGCCTCCTCACTTTTGGCCCCAGTTGACCATAGCCCAGAAAGACCTGTGGTGATAAGGATGGCCAAAGTGAAGGTGGCCCTTCTCTGTTCTACCTTGCATCACACTTACATCAGTACCCAACTCTGGCCTGTTTTCATCTCCTGCTCACACTGTCATGGATGCTGAGGTCCTGCCGTCACAGTTTTCATGACTCAAGAATCTGTCACTTTGGGGGTTTTCCTTGAAATGCCCCTGACTGTTTTCAACCCTGTGCTTTCTGTGACCAGGCCTCAGTTTCCTATTATGACAAATCATAAAAGGAAAGTTGTAAGACGATGCAAGGGGAGGCCAGGATGGGACAGAGCAGAAGGACCTAGTAAGTCAAGGCACATTCTTGAACCTTGTGTTGTAGATCAACAAAAGTTTCAGTTTTAAACACAATGTTCTGGCGTGTGTGTGTGTGTGTGTGTGTGTGTGTGTGTGTGTGTGTGTGTGAGAGAGA